TGCAACTTGGGGAACCATTTTTTCATAACGCTAAATCAGAAATTTGAAGAACAAATACCCATAGATTAGCACCAAAAAGAAAACAACCAACCTGGTAGGTGAAGTTCAACATGACCGGTCCAGGGCCAACCCCAGAGAACCTAGACTGGCCCGAATCCCTCCATTCTTGCGGCATCAAACCCCCACCAAGAGACTCCAAAATGATCTGTGCAGTCTCAAAAGGCAAGGGCAAAGACGGAATTCTTGGAAACCTACTCAAAACCTCACTCTCTTGCAACCCCAACTTCTCCCCATCTTCAATCCCGGGCCACCCTGGACTCTGCGGGTCCCCGACACCCCTCATGACTGTCCCTCTCTCCACCCCTGTACCAAAACCCCCTCTGCTCCTGTCCCCTTCGGCGTATATCAGCACCGCTAGTGCACCTTTAGCCTCTGCTATTTCCACAACAGCACCCCTCCCCAAATCATCACCCTTTCTAGCTATCACTATACACCCATTGACGTCCACTCCCCTCACTGCCAGCGCACGATAGTCCTCCTCACGCCCGTAGTTAACAAACACTACCTTGGCATGCGCCGAACCTGACGGAGAATACGCATGGTAAGGTTGTACCAAACCCGAAACGGCATAACCAGAAATACCCACTTCGTTTAATGGCAGTTTTAGCTCCGTGCCGTTACGGAAATGCAACGCCACCGATGCGTGGAGGGGGTAGGACAAGAGGGCTTTGAAAGGCACCACATGGGTCTCGAGCCCTAAGGTTTGGAAATGAGTTTTCACATAATTAGCAGTGTCAAGGGAGGGCTTTGTTCCAGCCAGGTGAGGGTGTTGCGTGAGTGCCCGGAGGTAGGAATAAAGGGTGTAGTTGTCGCCGGAGGACAGGAACATCTGACGGTAAAGCGCTGCATTTTGGGGTATCCGAGGTGGGAAATGCAGAGCATAAAACCCCAGAATGCAAAGGATTATGAAGAAGAGGAAGTAGCAAATTGGCGGTGGCTTTGCAGTGAAAATGGTAGCCGGTTTGATCAGATTCTGAGACATTCCCTTCTCCTAAAACCAATCCAAAGAAAGCTCGGAACTTTGATTTCCAAAACAGAGAAATAATCAAACAGTAGTGAAGAGTAAGAGAATCCGATCAAGATTTTGCGTTAAGATCACTGGAATTGAAAAGGGTAAATCAAAAGTTCGAAACTTTTTCTGTGAGGACTGCATCAACTGTACATAGAAAATTTTGTATTAGGAGGAAAAGGTCGAAATAATGATTCAAATTTCGTCATTTTTTTTTAATTTATGGATACAAAATTTTTTAGATTTCAATTCTAAATTTCTCAATTAGGGTGAATAATATTTTAATTAAAAGCATAAAGTCTAAATTAAAAATTTTAAATTTAAATTTTAAAATAAATA